AAATAATTTTTAATTTCATACACCGGTCTGTTTTTCTATATTTGGTATAACTTTATGTTCTACTGTGCATTACGTAACACAGCTAAATAATTTTTAATTTCATACACCGGTCTGTTTTTCTATATTTGGTATAACTTTATGTCATACTGTGCATTACGTAACGCAGCTAAATGATTTTTAATTTCATACACCGGTCTGTTTTTCTATATTTGGTATAACTTTATGTTCTACTGTGCATTACGTAACGCAGCTAAATGATTTTTAATTTCATACACCGGACTGTTTTTCTATATTTGGTATAACTTTATGTTCTACTGTGCATTACATAAAGCAGCTAAATGGTTTTTAGTTTCATACACCGGTCTGTTTTTCTATATTTGTATAACTTTATGTTCTACTGTGCATTACATAAAGCAGCTAAATGGTTTTTAGTTTCATACACCGGTCTGTTTTTCTATATTTGGTAGAACTTTATGTTATACTGTGCATTACGTAACGCAGCTAAATGATTTTTAATTTCATACACCGGACTGTTTTTCTATATTTGTTTAAAGGTAGGTTACCGTCGTTGAAAAATTCATCCGTCAATCCTCTCATTGATGCGATTAGCCAACAGTTCATAACAGATAGAAAGAATTTTGATAAATCATTATTTTTCGATCTCTAACAAAGTCTAAATAACATAAGAATTAAAAACTATACATCCTTTGATTGTATTGTGATGTTGATTACCAGAAAGTTAAAGTTTAAATTGTTGGTATAAGAAAAACGTAATTCAGCAGGTTCTATACATTAAGACAGAAGACACCGATTTTTCTTTTAAAATATTATTTATAAGCTACATTTTATACAATATAAAAACTAAATGAATATTGACACTAGAGGTCCTCTTATGACTATTATTTCTGAAATAAAAAAAAAAATATTTCTTTACTGTTAAGTGCAATGATGCACAATAGGATACCTGTCCAATATGTAAACTTTAGGGACCAAACTCCGAATTTTAGTGTTACGAGCCCTCAAACTTACAGCTGAGGTGTAGGAAAAAAAGGAAAGTTTTTTTAAAATTAAATTTTAAAACAAACATAGTCGTCATTATAATTTAACAGAAAATTCACTAGTACTTTGTCAATATAAAATTATTATTATTATTACGTTTTCATAGTTTATCAGCTACACTCCCCGGTTCAACATGCAATCTGACTTTTTAGTTTCACTTCTAGTGAAAGTTCTGTTTTAAGCACAGTTTATATTTGTGAAACATCTACATCAACTTTCGTCAGAACTAGAATGTATATTTCTATTTAACTTAATTTTTAAGTACTGAAGAACTTATTTTATGGAAAATTTTCAACTGTATACGTTTTTAAGAAAAATGTTTGTATAAAAAATAATAATAAATACACTTTTTTATAACAAAACCTTAAAAATGTATACAGTTGAAATTTTAAATAAAATGTCACGACTTACTGATTTTCTCAATCGTTTAGCATTTTAGTTATTTGGAATGCGTCTAGTTATACCTCTAGTATATAGTGATTTTATTTTAATTTTAAAGCTTCAACTATTGGCCAAGCGCGTCCTAGTGATAAGTGTGCTAGATTGTGGATATAAGGTTTTTTGGTTCGAGCCTCGTTATCACAAAAAAATATCGGGTGTGTTATAAAACTGACAGTCAATCCCAGTAGTGATTAAAGTAACCCAAGAGTTGGCGGTGAATGGGGTTGGTTACCTGTCTTTCCTATAGACTGGGCCGGCATGGCCAGGTGGTTAGGGCGCTCTACCTCGCAATCTGAGGGTCGTGGGTTCGAATCCACGTCACACCAAACATGCTCGCTCTTTCAGCCATGGGGGCGTTATAATGTGACGGTCAATCCCACTATTCGTTGTTAAAAAGAGGAGCCCATGAGTTGGCGGTGGGTGGTGATGACTAGCTGCCTTCCCTCTAGCCTTACACTGCTAAATTAGGGACGGCTAGCGCAGATAGCCCTCGTGTAGCTTGGCACGAAATTCAAAACAAACAAACCCTCTAGACTATCACTTTAAACTTACAAACGGCAACCACAGCTAGCCCTTGAGTAGCTTTGTATGAAATTTAAGAAATAAACAAAACATTCATGTATACAACAGCTCTCTACTACTAGCTAGCGAGGCTCATGTAACATAATTGTGTAATATACATAGTAAAATATGATTTCATATATTGTTTGTTTGTTTGAAGTTAAGCACATAGCTACACAATGGGCTATCTGTGCTCTGCCCACCACGGGTATCGAAACCCCAGTTCTAGCGTTGTAACTCCGCTGACATATCGCTGTGCCACTAGGTGGGGTGGGGGGGCTCGTATATTGCAACATTACGTCATCAAAATCGATTAAGTAAAAGTTTATTATTGTACATTTAGGATTTTATAAAACTAATTATCTGCCAGAACTGTCTTTTTTTTCTTATGAGAGAATAACTGAATGGGCTATTTAAAAATAAACCAAGCTCTACTAGTGTTCAAATTACAAATACCGCGAAATTTAGCCAAATGGTTCTATTTTTATATAATAAACCAATATTGCAGATTGTATATTGAATTAAAAAGTGATGTTTACAAAAGGTAGGTTATAAAACGTATAAAAAAATTTGAGAAAGAAAAACTCATTTCAGACAAAAAAATTTCTCTAATTTTTCTTAATTTTTCCGATGTAAAATCTGTTTGATTTCTGCTATTATCTTAGGACAAGATGTCAACAGACTAATACTCTTAGGCTTGTGATGTAGTTAAACAAATAAAGTGAAGAATGCAGTGCTTAAAACTCATCGTACATATACTGGAGTTTTTAGTTAGGAAAGAGCTTTCGTACTTTTTTCAATAAGTTAATTCATCCCTTAGATTTTATACTTAATGTCTGTCATACTGAATGACTCACATCAGAGGAAAATCTTATCGATGGTCATATATTACCAATTTTATGATAACAAAACGTTTTACTCAGCAGGATGTAATTTTCTTTTTATTTCTCACGTGTCACTCTCTTGTACACTTAATGTTAATTAGCCTTACCCTTCTACTCAATATCGATATAGTTACTCAGCCACATTGTTTTCGGTTTAGAACTCAAAGTAATCGAAATTTACACATGAAGTAATATTTCATTAACGATATTGTGTCATTAGAACATCAAAAATGAAAAATAGAGACCTTTGGTTTAATGTTTACCATCATCAAGTTACTATAAAAACTATTTGTGTCTGTTTCTTTGCTGTTTAAGTTGTCATATGTAATTCCCTGGTAAGTATTGTTTCGTGCTAGAAATATCGTCAATAGTTTTCTTATTACTATTAATTATTCTAATCACATCTACTTAACCTTACTTATTGGATGTAGTAATTTTTATTAGATTCTAAGCTCATAGTTTAATTAATATAAATTAATAAAACCGCAAAGATCAGAACGTGAAAATTATTGTTGCGTCAAGATATCCAACTAGCCGAAACTTGTCAAATACCCGTAATCTTGGTTACAGTTAAATATATTCTATTAACAGATAATTTGATATTGTGTCTCTATTACTTACGAGCTATAATTCGAAATGCGCATTGTTGCATGGGAAGATATCTAAGACATAACCAACATCGTTAAGTAACAACAGTCAATATACATTACATTACGATACTGAACGCCGAAAGCAGACGAAACAACTAAACCAACTGTTATGATGAGAATGCCTCTTCTAAGCTAGTTATAATTAATAATACTTGTCATAACTGATAAGACATTGGTATTACGGCTATTATATTTTTAGCTCTACATTCTTTATTCAATCCCTTAGCGTTTTTAAAGTTTGGTTTGTTTTGAATTTTGCGCAAAGCTACACGAGGGCTATCTGCGCTAGCCGTCCCTAATTTAGCAGTGTAAGACTAGAGGGAAGGTAGCTATTCATCACCACCTACCACTAACTCTTCGACTACTCTTTTACCAACGAATAGTGAGATTGACCGTACATTATAACGTCCCCACGAAACAGCGATTTACGAGTCGAGTGCCCTCACCACTTGGCCATGCCGGGTCGTTTTTTAAAGGACAATAAAAAGTATAACAGTATTTCATCCACACAGTGTCCGCCATATTTACTGCCGACGACGCAAAAACTTAAAGTTATTAAATTACGAAAAGTAACTAACTACATTTCTGATTTGTTGCTGTTCGATTCTTATTCATTATCATTATTGGCACCCCTATTTACACACTATTTCCCGAACAACAGTGAGTATTGAAACAGTTACACTTCTTTGTGGCTTAATATAAAGTATAAATAAATGATAATTGATTTAAATAAGTACCTATAACTATAGTATATATTAATATAATGGAGTGGTTTGGGGGGGGGGGGATTTCTACAAAGAAAGAAGATTTCTAGAAAACAAGTAAATATTCTTAGTTGATTTGAAACAGGGAGAAAAAAAATGAAATTATATTCTAGAAAAATTTGGAAGTAATAATAAAAAAAAACAGACATGAGACAGCACAAACACTATCGCTGAAAGTAATGTACATTATCATTAATTGTGACGGTATGTAGCATGTTATACAAACACCTAAAGTATTTTAGGTTATTAGTGATGAGCAAAGATATAAACTAACAAGTTGCTTACATTTCACCGCTATACAAGGCCTACTTTTCTTATTTACTTCGCTCTTCCCAGCAGCAATGATGAGCCGTAAATTCGGTGAAACTAGTCTGTTGCAGCGGAAATATCGAAATCAAAAAGTAGATCAGGCCTCTGCGTCATATTTTCTTCACTGAAACTGTTGTTCTGGTGAAGAAAATCAATGAGATAAATCTTTATATACTGGTATTCTGGTCCTCACTCATTTATCCTGGTAAAAATGAATTAAAGCATAAAATAAAAGTTCACACACATATACATATATCTACAGCCCTACACGGGCGTAGAGAACAAACAATAAAATGCAATTTTCGTTGACTTCGGTAAAACTTTTACTTTAAAATGATTTAGACATTTAAGAGATTAGACAAAGTTGGATGCTTGAAATTAATACGATGCAATTTATCATTGCATAGACATCGCTTTCGGCTTTCCTTGGACATTTTATGCCGATTTGATTACAAGCATCTTAATTTTATTTCAATTGCTACTAAAGTAGATCTATTTTTATGCTCCGGCAAAGGTAACACGAAATTATAACTATCAGTCAGTATATATATATATATTGATTGATATCATGTAACTTTGTTTTTAAATCAGTGTTTTTAACACATATCATCAGACTAAACTGTTATTGATTTTTGATATAAAAATATGTATTACTGTTGATAAAATTCCAATAGCATTTTGTATTTTAAACAATATTTCATATTACAAAAATTTATAGTTATCCTTAAAAACAAAAAAGAAACATATTTTATGGCATTTGGTAATACAACGTATACAACCATAACTAAATCTAGAGTAGGTCAAATTATGTCCCCCGTGAGTCATTTTCCTGACTTATAATGTTAAAATCTGGGGTTCGAATCCCTGTGGTGGACAGAGTATAGATAGCCTATTGTGCAGCTTTGCGTTAAAAACAAAAACAACAAAGTCAAACTACATTTTAATCATCTTTAACATTTTACAAACAGTTGGATTTTAAATGATTCTACACGATGATGTCAAAGTAAATTATTTAATTACTAATGGAAAACCTAAATACAGAATGGATTAAACAAACAAATATTTTTTTTTCTTGTAGAAACCTTTTCCTTTTCGTTACGTTTCTAAATGTGAAATGAAAATCGTGACAAATAAGCCATTTTTTTAAAAATTTTGGATTATATTTCGTTAATTCTAATCAAAGTATTGAACAAAACGGCCAAAAAATGTGAAAATTAAAATCTTACTTTACAAAATAAGGTGTTATGATTGCATTATGAAGTATATTGTTGTAATAATTCGAAAGAAAATACCTGTGCGTTACACGAGTTCGAACAATAACCTAAAACTACGCTATTAATAGTGATTTTATATACGTAAAGCTTATAATATTAAGTTTCAGGCCAATAATTCCGTAACTAGCAAATCATAAACCCCTTTCTGCAGAGACGTAACCCAGCACACTAATCTGTAACCCAGCGCACTAATCTGTAACCCAGCGCACTAATCTGTAACCCAGCACACTAATCTGTAACCCAGCACACTAATCACTAGACCATATAGTTTGCAAATACCAGACGGTTACAATTTTATAAATTCAACACTATGAAAGTTACCGTAGCAGAAACATTTGTAATTCAGAAACACAAAAGTTGACCTTATAGAAAGTTCTGTGGTTAAGTAACATTGCTTAATAATTTTGTCAAATTTTAGCTTAACTCAAAGTTTTATTATTCAAGATACCACGTCGCATAATAAGGGGTTAAGCTTAACATTTATTTAGAATTCTAAAGCAAAAAAGAAGAATTTTAAATAGTTTCATATTATGTATACGTAGTCTAAAGGGTAAGAATCCAGAGTTATTTTTTTATTGTAATATATTATTAGCCTCACTATTTACAAAGGACCTTTATATTATAACAACTAAATACACTCAACAGCATTCACTTACTCCTCAAGACTTATTTTCAACGTATGGTACTCTTATTGAGAACTTAAAAACGAAAATTATGATGCTATGAAAAAATATCATCTTGAAATACCTCTTGATCAGGCATCAGTTTCCAAAACACAGTTGACATAATTCTAATTACATACTTCGGAACACATTTAATGGAATAATAAATTCAACCACAAAATTAGGATCTCTTATTTCTCGTGTCATACTGTGAAAGCTTGGAATCAGTGTTTTGAAGAGGATTATTCACTGTTACTTACTAGTCTTGTGTGAACACTAATAAATGATGTAGGAATGTTTAACTCGGAAAAACACTCTTTTATCCTTGGCCTATCCTTAATAAGTAATAGTTTGTCATAATCCGGTAAAAGTCCTCGTGCAAAACATATTTAGCCGTTTATTTGTATAACTGAGTGATGGGTCTTAAGTCCTTCCCAGGTAAACCTACAGATTTGTGGTCACTTTATGAAGGATTTAGCTAATCATTGCTACTAATGGAACCGTTTTCCTTTGAGATCTGAACACGATTTAGTGTTATATCTCTTGTACTTTCATTTCAAATGTCTTACACACTAGAAAATGCCAAAAAATGAATTTCGATCAATCTTTTAAAAGTCATGAAGACAAGTGCACCAGCAGTGGCACGTTTTAAATTAGTAAATACCTAAAAATATATCATTATTCTATACCAGAAATACTGGTCACTTTTAATATATATATATATATTATATTGTGTTCAATTTTCAATTTAATGTTTTCTGGATGGAGCTTGATTATAAGATTACGTCATATCATTTGAGAAACAAGCCTATTCGAAGGGATGTGTTTATAAAAAAAATTATGGGAGATATCTATTTGTTTGATAATAAAGATAAACATTTAAACTGTCTTCACGGTGTTTGTTTGTTGAATTGTTGATTTTTAACCTTTGATTCAATCCATTTTTCTTTTTCTAAAGAATGTGCGGATTTTAACAAATTCAACGATATTTGTTTGTCATGAATTTTTCAACATTTGTTATTCTTTAGATGAACTGGCAGCTACTTCTGGCTTTGTGCGCATGCACAGCTGTTACTTATGTACAAGGATTACCGAATCAACATAAACTCCAGACCCGAAGCCAGAAGTTCTGTGGCAGACACTTGGCAGAGGCGTTAGCCTTAGTGTGCAACAACGTCTACTACACTCCAAACAAGAGGGCTGACAGCGATTTTACTTCCAATCGTGTAGACTTAGGTAACTTGTTTCAAGAACCTTTCAAAATTTAAAAGCTCACACAAGATTTACACCCTTCAGCTTAATTTCGAATATGTCTCATAATGAATTTCGATTTTAATATTATTCATTGACTTCTTTGTTTAGTGAATTTCGTGAAAGTTATTCGAGGGATATTTGTGCTAACCGACCCTAATTTTGAAGTGATAGACTTTACGAAAGGCAGCAGGTCAACACCACCCACCACCAGTTCTTGGTATATTCTTTTACCAACGAATAGTGGGATTAACCTTCACGTTATAACGCCCCCGTGGCTGAACCCGCGACCCAAAAATTGTGAGTCGAGTGCTCTAACCATCAGGCCAAGTAGTTATTGAATAACAGCTTATTTTTGCATCTCTTGAGATGTCATAAATGTGGCATCACAAACTACTTGTAGAATATGATTAAATTATAACATTATTTTCCTTATTGAAAAAAAATACGCGTTTTTCTTCTTTTAAGACAGAACCGTTATATTGCTAACTGATAGAAACTAAAAAATTAAAATCACAAGCATTTTAATCTGTAAAATATACCATATGTTTCAAGAGCAATAGAAAAATGTTGCCTATAAACAATTAACTCTGAACTATTTGTCATCGTGAAATGAAAAAAAAAAGCTGATAGATAAAGCACATTAAGTGCTGATTTTTATTTGTTCTAAGCCATGAAAATTCGTGATCTTGTGTTAAGTTGTCCATCTAAACGATTACAGAAAATTCCTTTACACTAGTTTTTTTTATTTTTTAGGAGAAATAATGCACGACTATGCTTTAAACTGACGAAAATCAGGAAGCTTTCCATTTTTTTTATTGATAATTCATACTGGTGTAAACTTATTTTTAATTATCCCGTAAGTTCAATTAAAATTCTACACTTTTCAAAAATAGGGTTTTGAAAACAAATTTACAAATATTGTAATGTAGTCTTTATTTTCCTTGTTTTAATTTTCAGAACCTTGGTGGACCGCCTTTTCGTATGTTGAACCAAGACCTGATGATGGTTTTCTGGACAGCAGAACAGCTCGGGTAGTGTTTGGAAAACGAGATGTTTTCTTCCGAAAGATGAGGGGCGTGGCCGATGAATGCTGTAGGAAAGGCTGCTCAATCTCAGAGTTAACATCTTACTGTGGCCAGCATTCGAAATGAAACTAGATGGCGTCGTTGGCCCGAAGGGTACAGACTGCCAGCATTTCAGGGATGCTTTTCACTTGATTAAAACCTTCCATAGTTATTTTCACTGCAGTAATTCGGCTTATGTTTTGTAAAGTCTATATATATAGTAAAATGCCAACAACTTATTAGTTAGAGAATGTGTTTGAAAAACCTGGGTGAAATCAATATACACTATTGTTGTTCATGATTATTTAATAAAAACATATTTTGTTTCACAGCTTCAACTAATCGTGTAGCTCAGTTTTACTCAGGTTTATAATTATGTTTTTATATCAACGTGGTATTACATAAATTGGTTTAAATTGGCCATCTTTAGCCTAGCAAAATTCGGTTTCCAAAAAATCAGTACTTTGCGCTGTTTGTCTTTTAAACTTGCTTTTTTTTTGTACTATAGTACCTTTCTTTAACTTTGTTCTTCGTCCCTTGCATCGACGGACACAATATGGTATAAACCAGCTGTGTTTGATATTGTTTTCTCATATTTCAAACATTAAAATAATCAAACGAAAAATCTGTTATTTTGTTCTACATTCGTGTTCTTTAAATCAACCATAGATAAGATTCGGTATTAAGCTTAACATCAATTATAACAATGCAATTAAGGGTAAACACATGGGTAAATAGGTCAATTGATTGAAAACTAGAGATTTTTCAATCTGTAGGTTTTTTAAACGACACACGTATTATTATAATTATAAGCAAACATTATTTAAAGGCTAATCAGATTCATTACCTTTGTCAGTACATTTAAGTTGACGCCATCGTTTGACAATTATAATACAAATATTTTCGAAATTATTATGGACTATCGTGTGTCGAATTCTTGGGTACAAAGATGTAAATCAGAAGATCCATTTTTACGTCACGATATGCTGCTAAACGCAGTCACACTTTATTTGTGGTGGCGTTATAATTGTGACAGTCAATCTCACTAATCGGCAAAGACAGCGGGTGCTAGTGATTAGTTACCATCTTTTTCTTCTAAGTTATGACCGGTTATAAGTGAACCTTTGGGATCTCTGACCTGACTGGTAACTCCCTGAGCTACATAAGGTGCTATTTAGATTCAAAATACCAAATACTCATTTGATATAATGAAATTAAAATAACTTTGTTTTTTGTTGTTAAAGGCATAGTTACACAATTGACAATCCGTGCTCTGTCCACCACGAGTATCTAAACCAGGTTTTAAGCGTAATAAGCCTTTTGGCTTACCGCTGAGAACTAAGGGGCATTAAATTAACAAAATGGTAGTATATAATACTTGAAGTTGTCCTTCGACGAGCAAAATCTGTTATAAGAAACTTAAATATTACATTAGATGTAGAATTTCAATTATTTTCTACCTTTTAGGACAAGACAAACAAATATTCAAGTTTATATATATTCACAATAAAACATCATAAACGTTATTTCTTCAAGAAATTTATATATCTAATATCTCAGTTAGACCAGTAAATAAATCAATAGTTTCAAATTACTTTCTTCTTTACGAAGACCAATATTATTCATCATACACTCAAAAGGAGTATTTCTATATACTGTTATAGAGAGGAACGTTTATTTGGAATACTTTCCATAATTCTAGTATCAACAGTCTCTTGTACAGCGAACTGTTGTAAATGAAAAATAGATCTAAAAGGTTATTTTCACACACCTTTGATTCGAATTATGTACAAATTGACAAAAGTGTGAAGAGAAATCTACAGTTTAATGTCACTTTTATCACATATTTTACGCCTATTAGTTTTTAATGCTTCACCAGCTTTTTGTGTTCAAAAACTTTGAAAGCTCCTTATTACTATTGTCGAATGATAAGGTTTGGTTATTACCTTGCATAAATTATTGTTCCTTTTTGATATCTTACAAATGTTAAGTCTTGGGTATTACATCGTTCAGAATTTTTATCTGTATTACCATTTTGCAAATTTAAGTTTTCTTTACGATACCATTTAGATTTCTTATTAGATTTAAAACGTTAAGGTATGGGACATCACTTCATTTAGATAGCTCCCTCCCCCCATTGTCACAGTGGCATGTCTGCGGACTTACAACACTAGAAACCGGGTTTCGATACCCGTGGTGGGCAGAGCACAGATAGCCTATTGCTTATTTGCTAACAAACATTTAGCTGTTAATTCTGATTGGTACATATCAAATGTTAGGGTTTTTGACATTTTCATTCAAAATTATAGTTTCTGAATCATTTTTAAAATTATAATGTTTTAAGTATTACGTTATTCAGAGATTCTGCCCTTCTTTTCTTTTGAAACGTCAATCTTTTGTCTGCTACATCACCAATAACTATTTTCTTACTATAACCACTAAGTACAATTTTCTTATTAACATTAATGCTACGTCACTGAGGACTGTTGTTTCTTCCTAACACTGATGTTACATCACTGAAGACTGTTGTTTCTTCCTAACACTGATGTTACATCAATGAAAACTCTTGTTTCTTCCTAACACTGGTGTTACATCACTGAGGACTGTTGTTTCTTCCTACACTGATGTTACATCACTGAGGACTGTTGTTTCTTCCTAACACTGATGTTACATCACTGAGGACTGTTGTTTCTTCCTAACACTGATGTCACATCACTGGAAACTCTTTTCTTCCTAACACTGATGTTACATCACTGAAAACTCTTGTTTCTTCCTAACACTGATGTTACATCACTGAGGACCGTTGTTTCTTCCTAACACTGATGTTACATCACTGAGGACTATTATTTATTCCTACCACTAATCAGGTGTTATTCCAAGTTATTGCCGTCTATAGTTACCCGTCTTTCCCGATCATTTTGCTGAACCTTTTGACCTCATCATCCTACAGCAGTTATACTAAAAATCAGACGAGTCTTTAATTTTCACCACAAAATAGCAAGTTATAATAATTCACGTGTTTCTTAAGAGTGGTTAACGCACTGAAGAGAAAGTGTTAAAAGAAGAGCAGGAAATGTTTCCATTATCATTGGGAAAGAGAAATGTTAATTTACCAGAAAAGTATGTCACAAACTTCTAGTGAACTCCATAGGAACTAACGGAATGTTTACTTCAGTGTAATTCCACCATATTATTCCTGCTGTCCTTATTAAGAATGATAAGATTTAAGAAAAGACAATAAGTAAATAAATACAACTGAATTTTAATTGAAATTATTTATACATCAAACAGGTATACTACAACATAGGTATAAAAGTAGACAGCCACATTCATTTTTAAACACAAACATGTGATAATAATTTCTGTGACTTCGAAATTTATAACACGAAGAAGAAGGTATGCATACATATAGTAGGTAGGCCAACACTCGTTACATATTATATTTTTGTTGCAGTTATTCCTATAATTCATGGCCCATCAGTGACATTAGTTTCTAAACAACTCAGTAAACGTTTATATATTTTTTTAATTAACACCTTGATTTAAACAGTGAGGTATATAAAATAATGTCCTAGTACATTTTAAAGTATATGTTTAAATATGAATAGCAATACGTTTTCCAAACATACACATGTTACTGTATATATATACACACACACAAGTGGAAGGAAATAGAGACATGTTAATTTTCATTATTCTTATAGTTTCGGTCACAATCTGTTTACTAATTACTCAAAATCTGTTGCAGACCCCCATCTGCGATAAAATATTAAAGGTATGAAAAATTAACCTTCAAAACTTTTATTCTGAAAAATTTTACCGTACAAAAAATCGTTGTTATATAATTAGTTGTATATTACTAAAAAAACGTTTTATTTTCTTAACAAGTATATGTCACATATCTAAAAGAAACCAACAACACAATTTATCAAATTGATCATGAGTATCTAACGTAATGACCACTTGTTTTGACTTACAAATTTACCTAGCTAAAAGGCACTGTGGCATGAAGGTCAAATGTGTTTCGTTTTTACCAAATGTAATACGTGTATTTATTGAATGGCGACTTTACTTTCGTAAATTGAAATTGATTTCAGCATAACGTAATACGTGTCTGAATACAGATATGTAATTTTTCCCACCCTATTATGCTACATAAAACTCAGATGGAAGACAAAAATCTTAAAACATATATATATATACACACACACAGATGAGTATTCACAGCTATGTAAGTTCAATGCAACTTTAAACGTAGATCTGTGTAATGGATCATTTTGACGTCTTGAAAAATTACTTGAGAATTTTTGATCCAAAGACATAAACAATTAACGTCTGTTTTAGTTTCAATACAGAATGTTATTCCTGATCTACGATAACAAATTGCTTACCCAATCACCTTGCCTTTGTCTATTCCCGTGATTCTCTTGTTACAATTTATTTAAATGTGTTTTCTAAATGCAGGTGCTGCATAAAATTGATCCCTTCTTGCTACTCCACGAATTGCTACCAGTTATACACCTGAATCTAATGAAAAAAGTAAAACAACTTGTTACCGGAAGTAGCCCAAGAGTACAGAAATCCACTGCAGTTAAAAAAGGATCTACAAATTAGATAATTCACATGGATCCAGGTTTATAAAAGCAACAGGAAAGCTGTGTTCATACGTTTTTCCCCAGACTAACATGTTGAAAAGATGTACCAACGGTATCTGGCATGTGACAAGTGTCTGCAAAAGCTCAGGTACAGAGCATGTTGTCAAAGTTTCTACAGGGGATTTAAGGTGGTTGTATGTTACAGCTATAATGGTAAGTTAAATACACTGAAGTTGAGAAAAATGTGTTGGTGAATTCAGCATAATATCTAGTTAACATATTGGCAATACTATGTGTCACGAAGAATACCATCTTTGTACCGCCTAGATATCAATAGGATACAGCTCTAAAAAAATCCATCCAGCCACATCCACATAAACATGACAGTTTCTCTACAAAATACGTACAAATGGAGATTCGTGCTATATCATTCGCAGACACCTCTCATGGACTTCTATTTAATTGGGTTACCAAAACGTACCCTTGAAAGTCATTGTTCGCAAACTGTTGAATAACTTTATAAAGCACACAAAGAAGAGGGACAACATACACCGTAGTGTTTTACATAAAAGCCCCTTGCACTGGATATTGTGCTGCAGCATAAACCTCCATAAATAAAACACTATCAATGTCAGTCAACATTGTTATCGTTACAATAGATCATGAACAACCATCTGTAAATAATCTTGGCGACACAAGGTACCAAAATGTGGATGTGAATATCCAACCGTCACATGCACAATTGCTCCTTTCCGTTTTTATCGAAAATATTGGTCAAAAACCTGCTTAGAAAATACAACCAATAAACATGGTCAATAAGTTTACTATCTGTTAGTTTATGGTTACAAACATGAAAAATTGTGTTCTTTATATAACAGACTTACCCCTTTAAACATACTTCCGATAATTAACTTCAACGCATAAATTCAACGATAATTCAACGCATAAAAATACCCTCATTCTCTGCAGGGGTATATCCTTCGTTATTTATACTAACGTTACAATTCTAACACTTTGAGGCTGCGACTCGATTGTAAGCAAATTGTGTTTGATGGTTCATCAAGGAAGCAACTAAAGCAACGAGAAAGTTCCTAGAATATTCCTAACTACTCTAATTGGTGGTAATTAAAAACAAAAAACTAACATTTTGGAACGTAGATGTTTTTGAAATGTGTCATGAATTTACTTAAAATTCCCAATCGAGTGCACAAAACAAAAAGTGTTAAACACAAGTGCAAAGAGAAGAAAATTATTAGAAATATTGACTATCAAGAAAACATTTTTGGGAAGTTTTAAAATATAGATGAATATGTTTTAACTATCTCATTACTTAATATGGGTAATAGTATCATATTAATATGCAAATGTTACTATAACGTACAGATAAAGTTATATTCCTAACCTTTTCAATTTAAGTTTTTACTATAGTTTCTCATCATTTAGTCTCTCTAAAAGTAGTACATTAAATTGGCAACAGATGGCAATACGGAAGCTTGAGAAAATTTTTTAAATAAAATTAATATTTTCTACATGCATGAACCTATCCTAGCACTTAAACAAAAACTAATTTCTAGCAAAACAAAACTTCTAATTGAAAATTTCTTTCCATCAATATTTTGTTTTAAATCACAATATTTGTTAACTAACTTAACTTGATCTCTTTACGCATATCAAACACTTTACACTATCAAATATAGTGCCCGAGATGAACTAAAAGTATTATTAATACAATACTAAGAATACATTAAAAATTGAATTTTATTTTAAAAGTAATAAGACTAAACTTTTTCGTAAATGGTGCCTGACCAGCTTGTTTACATCAGTAAGTTTTCGTAGTGTAAACTAATTAAAATATCACTTTTTTACATAACTAGTTTTCATACAGTTGTATGTCACAACTTTTTAGCTTTATTATGTGCCAGTGTAACTACATATATACTATTTTTAAATATATTTTCAAAAACAAATGAAAATGGTTTATATTTACTAACTTTTGTATTTTTACAGTTAGCAATTTCTAATAATTTGCTTAATTCTTACATGACACAATTAAGTGTGAACTTAGTAAAATATTGTTTTTGTTGTTGGAATATTGCAATGAAAACCAAAATACTGATTCAAGTACTTTTAAGTAAGCAATAAACTGGCTAAAAATCAGTTTATTAAAGTTACACTTTTACCATATAGAAAAGTCGTGGCCTATAAAAAATCTACAATAATTTGAAAGTAGTATGATTAAATCTACAACACTAAATTTATTACTACTTTATGAATTTACTTGCAAATAATTCGACATGAGATGTTACTTAAATTTTAATACTACATATGAAATAATAATTATTAAATTAATTTCTAAATCTCTAGAGATCATACCTTCAAATAAAAATAAATATACAATAATTTCCTATTTTCTCCAGTAAAATATCCATTCATTCAGGATTACAAAAAACAATTTAGCCATTTCTGATCAAATACTAAAGTTTCATATAACTTTATTACCTTTGCAAATTTAACATCATTAATAAGTAACTATACTGTCTTTAAAATATTTCTCTTAATCATACAAAGTGTAATGTTTTTCTACTGGTATATGTCATATTTAATTTGTTTATACTATGTTTCTTGTAATATTCTTGAACATGTTTGGATTAAACCTCTTACTTCCTTGCAACACCTCTTTTGGTACCTTTTGGTTTGTGTTGGAGATGACTGTCAGTATGAAGGATAATATCTTATTTCTAAACTTGAAGAAAAGAGTTTGTACAAATATCTAAGCTTTGCATAGAAACATTTCATAAGCAAACTTCAATGTTAAACAAAATAAAATCCAATTATTTCCATTTTTTAGCAAACACAAGTTTGTATTTTATTCTTGTATTCTTTATTAAATTTTCTTTCTGTTATCAGAAGTCATTACGTTAATTGCAAACAGTTCATATATACAAGTTAAATGGAGCATTTATATCTAGCATATTTTATACTATTTAACCATAATACGGCCACAAACAATCAGCAAGAAGATATACATAGCCTACTCATAGACCAACAAAGTTATTATGCATGGAATGGTATAGTTTAAAGGCATTTGTGAGTTTTCTTCATTAATACAAGAAAGACAATGAGTCACATTCTACATCCCTGATTCAGCTATTCCTTCATCATCTGTAAGAAAATTATTCAAAGCATTAAACAAATTAAAATGGTTTGTAACAAGAACAGATCTATTAAAATACACATAGAAGTGCACAAAAATATATTAAGGTAATTATATTAATATTAATTAAAAGAACTACAAATACTGAATAACAATGACTGAACACAAGTGCAAGCTCTAAAGTAGTTTAATTCTAAATAGCTGGAGCTTTTATAAAAATCTTAAATATTGGCTCTGTTACTTAAAGTATATGTTAAAATTACGAGTCAGCTTGAAAGTTGTAATTCTACAAAGATTAACTGACTATACATGAAACATTTGTATATTCTTAACTTTCTATATTATTAAGAAAACATTTCATTTGCATTCTTTGCAGGTATTTTTAAGCAGTGTTTTGTCCAATCATTGTTTGCAGGATTTAGTAAACATGCATTGGTCTTCTTCAGATTGTATTTAACCCTCTTTAAGTCATGATCACCAGGGATTAGACAGCATGCAGATAAAGTTAATAAAGAAATTACTTAAACCATTTCATAAATTCTGTAACACCTGTACATAGCAAAAATAAATAATAGTTTTACAGAAGCAAGTCACGGAAGTGATAATATAGGTGGTAGTAGTGGCATACTGGTTTTAATAAAGCTGCCCCACTGTTCTGATTTTTCATTGAAACAAACTTAAAAAAAAAGAAATCCATCACATGTAATAAGAATAATTTTTTAAGTTTTCTCAGTTGTTGCAATCATTACAAAAACCAGTTTCCAACATGCTATTCTATCAACCTTTTATATATATATATCCATAAAATTTACTAATCATTGAAAAGTATTTAAATAGTTGAAATATTCTGAAAGCTGTTCAAGTTCCATGCACTTCTTAGAACAAACTTAGTTACTGATAAAACTAAATGATTAAGCTTTCATTTTTAGATTAAGATGTAAAATGAGTAAATAAATCTAAAGTGAAAATGACATATAAAGTTCACTGACCAAATGATACATAATGAGATTTTCAGTGTACAAAAAAAGATGAAGAAATAATCAAGTAGTTACACAAGCCGAATATCAAAGAAAAATAACTAAAATACAATGACAGATAAAAGAAAAAATGGAAGATCCTAAGGTCAGATACCAAAGCAAGTTTAATAGAACCATTTTTAAATTAGAAAGAATGATTAATAGATAAAAAAAATTAGTAACAAGTTATTAAACATGATGAAAATTTTTCAGAAAAAATATATAATGTCATTATAATATATAAAAAAAAAGCTGAATAAATAAAAAGTTTGGAAATAAAATGATGCATCGCTTCATAAGAACATAACAGGCAACAAATAATAAACATGAGAAAATAAAATGAAGTCAAAAACAGTTGGTTAAAATTATTCAACAGTATGAAGAAAAAGATGAAAAGAAAATGCTGTTAAGGAATAAGGTCAAATGCTCATCAGAGGAACAAATGAAGTCAAAAAGGCCTTTACCCAGAGGATCAATGAAACTACTCAGAATGAAGTAAAATGAGGTTAACCAGTTCTGCAGGAGGTTACACATAGTACTTGTTGTTGTTAGCTGGAAAGAAGTACGTTAATGTTATTACACCAACTAAAATATTTCATTTTTCTTTAAGACAATATATTAATTTGCTTGCCATATGTGACATTGTAGTCTTAATATTTTTGTTATCAGAAACCATGAGTTACTCATACTAATTTATTTACTAATAGAAAATGACTTTATAATTTATTGGAAAATTATAAAAACTTCTTTACTGTATATATGCAGAAGTGCTTTGCCCAAGTGTTCTAATACTAACAGAAAAGTTGTTAATACAGAGAAATACAGGAGAAGCAAACAGTAAACATACGATTCAAAAATAAAACAGAGAATCATCAATAACATCCTTAAATCTAATAAATTATATTATTTTACTTTTCCTAAAAGAAAAACCTAATTATAACAAGAATTCTGATAATATGAAAAAAACGTTTAGGGGGTTAAACATACATATATAAATATATATATTACCTTGGGGGAACACCTACTATAAGTTATTTTAAAATAAAATAGCATAACTCAAAACACAAACATTAGAAATTAAATACAGCTGTTTATTTTTGGTTCTTGTATAAATTTAAAATTTTCAAAACTGATCTGTAGTAAATAAAATCAATACAAAAATAACTTAGAATAATAATTATCATTCAAGAATATTAGGACTGAATATTGTGCAGACAATTCAATAATTTTAGTAACACTGTTCATTTTTCAGTATTTTTTTTTGAATAAGTGTAAAAGACAACAGTCTATATGATGATATCTTTGACATTTTCCAAATTTTTGTACTTATATATATATATTGTATTCACATTACTTGACAAGTGTTGAGAAAATATACCAGAAAATAGCTTTTAAACTATCTGTAACCAAACTCTAAAAATGTCACATATCATGTACACTAAATATAGTCATTCCACCTACAGTCTATTTCAGATTAAACAGAAGTTTCAATGATGTCTGCTACAGTATCCTAAACACCTTTAGGTAAGAAAGCTGGTTTTGGAGCCTGTGTTCCTTATGCCATTGAAAATCAAGGAACCACATTACTGATGGTATTTATGCACAGCATCACACTATTCATGTACTTGAGTTAAAGAGGCAACATCGAACTAGTATAGGTAAGTCACTACGACTGTCGTGCTATATCCAGATGGAGAAAGAGAGCAGCTTAAATGAAATATGGTAAGACTGAATAATTTTCATTACTGACAATTACACGCCATACAATCCATCCTCAAATAGATGTTTTATGTGTATGTACCCACTGTCAATGACCACAAATATTCTTCAGACAACTACGGAAAGTTCAAAACCACATCATCCGATTCAATCATTTTCCATTGCTCTCTTGTTTGCTCAGTTGTACCCAGATGTTCCCCAATTTCCACCCTCTCGATCATTTCTATATTTGAAGTTAACAATAAGTCTAAAATTCAGTTTTTCCTGGCCCTCACCACTGTCTAGTCTTAGTTTGAAACTTCTCTTACAGCTGAGTTAATAGCCTTAGCAAACAAGCCAGTCCCTACTCTATTTTAATGTAAACCATCCATTGCAAAAAACTCCCTTCTTCCACTAAACTCATCCCACAAGTCCAACCAGCCAATCTGCTCATCCTCACATACTAACCTAAGCCTAGCATTTAGCCCTAATGACCTACTTATAACTTCATCCCCATAGTTAATTCTGAGCAGTATCCCTGACAAAATTAAGTTATGGCAATTTTCTTTAAATGCCTTTATCAACCCCTTGTACTTATTAATTAGCTCCTCTGATCTACCTTTCCCTACATCATTAATCCCTACATGCACTACAGAAACTGCATTTCTGCCAGCCCCCGTTATTATATCCCTTACTCTGTCAGTTATATCCTCCACCTGTGCCCCTGGGTAGCATAATCTGATTCTTTTCTCCATGTTTACCCAACAGACTATTCTATCCACATGCCTTATCAAGGAATCACCTATAACTATAACCTCCTTATCATCCACATCCTCCTCTGACCCTTTTGTTTTTCTTCCCTCCAACAGTTCCTCATCTGCAGAAGCCAAGGGCTGAAGTTTGTTGCTCAACAGAATAGGCTCATTAATAACTAAATTCACTACTTATAGCTCTAACAGTACTCTTTCTAACTAGATAGATGATGTTGTATGGGTTCGAGATCAGTACCATCTTTGGCCAACCTATTTTTGTGTTTATATGAAAAACAATGGTGAGAAAATTGCCTACAACAGTTTAAACCTCTCTGCTATCACAGGTATGTTGGTGATACATTTACCATCTGTAAAAAGTCTAATAAAGCTTCCCAATTTCTACAATAGTTGAACAGTAGATATAGTTTACTGTGGAACATCAGGAAAATTATAAAATTTCATTCTTGGACCCTTTAATTAGTATTACTAATGATCATTCCAGTGTGATGTGTACCAGAAAAATACATTACAAAATACAAAAATATTACAGGTTTGTATTTTAATTTTGCAAGCTTTACTGTGAATAGGTTTCAAGAAAGTTTATAAATATGCTGTTTCATTATGCTTATAAAATTTCTAGCACTTGATATTTTGCATAAACAATTTATTTATATTAAAAGGATTTTATGTAAAAATTATTTCCTGGATCTTGTCATTGAGAGAATACTTTGTAAATAAGTGAAGTATTAGTGCACCATGTGTAATTGAAGTTTCTAAGTATCCTGTTGTTATCAGTTTACCATACATGAGTAAATATTCTTGAATAATTAAAAATCAGTTTTAAAATGTTATTAGAAGGGTGTATCCACATATACAGTTGAAATGTATGTTTAAACCTGTCACCTATTTTTTTTTCTAGACTTAAGAGCTGAATTCCTGCTTTATAGTCATCATTTGTAGTTTGTAGTACATCTCAAAGATGGAATTCTAAAAAACAGGTAATCAAATTGAGACTTGATCAGTCCTTTCAGGCAGAAGTATTCATTATCAATTGGTCTATTGCACCAGTTTGTTTTGCTGCTTGTGTTTTCCACTCTGCTACAACAGATATGGTTGATAATATTCGGTAGAAATGAGGTTATTTTTGGCATAAGTTTTTCACTCTTTCAAGGTATTTTGGTGGTTCACTTGGTTCTAATGTGTGCCTTCTACCTTTAGGTACACGTTTCACATGACATATGATACACCTATATTCCTTTATAAATCACTCACTGAGCTGGGTGACAAAACACATAATTAAAAATGTGTTTCAGTTTCATTGAATAATATAATTTCTAATGCAAATGACTTTATTGAACAATTTATAAGTTCATTAACTTATATTGTGTGTATATACACAAAATCAGAGAAGATACGTTCAGTGACTGTCTTTTACTTGTTTGTGCATTAGTATCACAAAATAAAAAGTTTAATAAACTACTTCAAAATATCAAAATAGATGGATCATAACACTTTAGTAAAAATAAGTTTTTATGAGGAAATAACCATTTCCATCTTTAAACAGTGTTATTTTAATGTTCATCGCATTTCATATTGATAGAAAAATTGGATAAGTAGGCTATACAGGATTTGATAAACATAAGAAAATAATGAAATAACAATTGCAAAGTTCATTTATACAAACATAACCTATGGTAGTTCCATTACAAATGAAACAACATCACAGTAATTAACTATGTATTTCTTGACTGTTACTTGTAGGAAAAAATTCTCATTTTAAAGATACTTGTCCTTTCCTATATAATAAATTAGTTTTAACTCAACTGTTATTTACCTTCAAAACCCTGATTATCATGAGCTGCTGGTCTATTGGGTGGATCAATCATGTCCTCCTTTCCTTCTAACACGCACAATAAACACTGATGGATGCAGATGTACTGTTGCTGTTTGAAAATTTAATTTGTTTTTAATATTATGGTAAAATGTGAAACAAAAGCTAAAACCAGAGCTCAAGGTGAGGTTGATAATTTGAGATTAAATCTAAACAAGTATTATATTAGATATTATATCTTTATTTGTATTCAACGAGTTCTAGCTTAAAAATATGCAAGAATAACTTTTTTACTCTAAACAGTATCACCTGAAAGATGTCTTTTAAATGGATTCCTACCAGAAATGGCAACTGCTATCTTAGAGAAAGGAAAGAATGCGACTTGGAAAGTATGAGTTTTGATACAATTTTATGAATCCTCTAGAATCTTTTAAATTATCTATGATTTTAGCTCATATGTATTTCAGTAGAGGCTCAAAGTTTCAGACAAAGCAACAAACCTTTTGTTAGTATGCTTAAAACTTTTCTTTCTTTATCATTTTGTATTTATAAGATGAGTTATTTCAGGGCCACATTTAAACAACTTTTTGTTTGATTTTACAACATAAATGCTTTTATGAATTTTAAATAGTTATTACGTGAGTGTTTTAATATTATTGTTCCAAAAACACAAATGAAAAGTATTGAAAGCTAGAAAAAAACAGGTACCAATAATAAAGATTTAAAATATCCTTATATGCTTATGAGTATCGTATGTATATGTGAATGAGTGAAATAGAGAAAACTAATGTGAAACCTGTTGTCTTCTAAATCTATAGTTTTTTCAAAATGTTGATAATGCTACTCTTTCTATAGCTTTTTGATATACAGTTGAGCAGTACTTTTACAGTTCTGGTAAAAAAAACATGACATATAATTGTTGTTAAATAACAATCTTTATTTTTAAGCATACTCATGAAAAGAAATTGATATTTTGCATACACCAAAATATTTGACTCTCAAAATACTCAGTATATATACATAATATTTAGTTTTCTATAGTATTTCTATGCACTAAAATTCTTTAGTTTCAACATATACACTGCAAACGAACTAATCTGAGTTAATTTTATTTGTTTTGCAAACGAATTTATTAGTTCCAACACAAATTGCAAGTATAAAAAAATGCTTTAATTTAAAATATTCATCAAGTGAGCATAAACTTTATATTTTAGCTGATGCAAAAAATATATATATTTACTTTAACCATATTTTAATTCATGCAACTTGTTTTTACTTTTAACTATATGTAAATCAGTGGTCACCATATGTAAGCCTGGATCACAAAATGTGTTTTTTCAAAATAACAGAGGTAATGTACATCTAAAGTAAATGTGTTTGGTTTGTAACAGCTTTGTTTTAATTACTGTATCCATTTCATGATGAAACAGGGATTAATTCTCACCTCATTCTGTACCATCCAAACTCTCTCTTTCCTCATCTCATACACCAAACCAAAGATATCTACATAGTCATGCTTCTGAATGTGTTGCAGAATGTTGTCAAGAGCAATGAAGGTTCCTGATCTTCCAACACCAGCACTAAAAAAGAAAAAAAACATGATTTGTTAAAAGTTGTTTTCAAAGAACGACAAAAAAATAAACAGGTGAAACTCATTACAATAAAAGTTTTCATGAGAACTATCACTTTGATAGGTATGTGTGTTTTGTGTGTGTGTGTACAATTCTTAACCATGCCTACTTAAGTGGATATACTAAACTGAAAATTGAAGAACTTAAGTTTATATTCACACTATAATGTTAAAGTAAGTACCTTAGAATGTTAATAAAAAGTACTTGCAAAGCTCAAAACAAATTTCTACATAAAACATATGAATATATAAAGTTATCCACAACAATAAATCTGTATAAGTTTCTACCTGCAATGCACAAGTACAGGTCTGTTGTCTGGAACTACACGTTCTCTGAAGGCACGGACAAACTTCACGAGTGTCTGAGGAGGATCAGGAACTCCAAAGTCTGGCCATGTGGTGAAATGTAAATGACGGACTATGCGAGACTGATCACCCTACATTAAATAAAATAAAACCTAGGCATGTGTAGAATCTGCATTACCAATGACTTAAAATCAATAATCTCTTAAATAGATTCCTACTTACATAAAATAAAATTATTCCTAACAACTAAACAATTACACTTTATCTATCAAATTACATAAAAAGTAGATTTTCTAAGATTGTACTGATTTACATATATGGAAACATAACAAGTTACAGTTTCTTATATTCTTACACCATCTTTTCAACTATCAATCTACGACAATACTAAATATTAGTCATTTAAAAGGTTACCCTAGAGACTCGGAATTCAGACGCTGTCCAATCAGGATACTGAGACTCGTTAAGAATGGTAACCTGAATATCTCCATAGTATACAGGCTGTGTATCAAACGGCCAATAATGATTGCACTTCTCTCGTCCTTTCTCTATACAACGGGTGAGCATAACAATAGCTCGAGAGTTTTGTTCCCAAACCATTCTCCAGAAATCATCCCTAGTGCTGTGAAGTGGCCCTTGGCTGACTATAAACTCACGAGGAGAATTGTATCCCTGAAGAATATTTGAAAGGTCTCTAATGATTATTTACTATATTCAGAAGATTGTTTAGTGAATTAATACAATATTAGTCATCAAACTTTAGCAGGCTAAACTACGCTCAATTAATATTACCTTCTGATCAGAGTAGATTACTGTATTGGAACAAAACCAAAAACCAACCCAGTAATGAGTATACGTAATCAAATCTTATGTTCTTATGTACAAAGATTATAATGCATTATTTCATCAGTTGGATTCTTTAGATGTTAGCAATATATTCAACAATAAACCCTATAATGTCTTAAAATATAAATCAAGAAACAAGTTAGTAGCACTTCAATTTCATGTGTGTGGCCAGACTAAAAAATTAACACTAAAAAAAAGTGGATGTGTAAAAATCTTAACAACTTTACGATACTCTTAATTTCAACAGTGGGGCTATAACAAACGCTATAACAACGAACGTCTCACGTGCTCATCTTCAACAATACTCTTTGACTGCAGTTCAATTACTCATTACACTGTTGTCCCATCACGTTGTGAATGTCTTATATATACAAGACTAACACATATCTAGTAAATGCTAGGGCATTCTTGAAGGAACGGGATATTTCTAGAAACAGGTGGTGTGATACTAGTCACGTGACCTTGCTGACGCAACAATATGCAACAAATTAATTTTAAAATGTAGTTATAAAAATGCAAATTTCACAACTTTTTTTTCTAATGCTGCAGCAAAAACTAAATAAATTACAATAATACAAAAAACCTATAGTCTTTGGGGTACAAGTTTTATATACAAATACACATAACTAAAATCACATGAGGTATACAATTTCTTTGCACCATAACTTACAGGAATGTAGTTAGCATTGATATAGTCAGATCCTTCTTCATCATCTGTAGGAAGTAATTTGACACGTGAGTGATCATATGGAAGAATGTTGGTAAAGCGATTTTTTGGTCTATTGACTGGTAAGTCTGCAGCAGTGCAAGGTTTGTCACGTCCAACATGCTTCAAAAGCTCAAACTCCTCTGAGAATCGGAAGTCAGAATCTGCAGACATTAATCTATAATGTTCAGCGAAATCCCTTAGCTTGATGGGACGGCTGTGAAAAAAAGGTACAATATGTTTTAATTTTTAATACTTCATAGAGCTATGGCACCTATTCTACACCAGAAAGACATTTTTGTATAGTCTTAGAGCTCTACACAGAACACAGGTCCAAAATGATATAACAAAAGTTTTATATAGTTGACCTACTAGTATCAACAAAATCTCAAGAATTTTACTAAACTCATGAGTATATACAATAAGATTTGAACAAAGTTGATTATGTTAAAAAAGTACAACAGTAACAGTACTATATTAGAGAGCATATTACTCTCTTCAGAACTATGGGGCTTCCAGTGTTTCTACTTTTATGCACCAAAATTTAACACTAAGGTAAAATTGAATAAGCTTGTAGCAATAAGATATTTAAGCTAAAATTGAGATATACAGAGATAATAAATACACATAAAAAGTGAGATGATATAAAATTGCCAAATCACCTGTCTAATAAATATTTTAAATTGAAAAGATGTTACTATGGCACAAAAGTTAAAATGATTGAACTTAATAATATCTATAATACTCATCATGGCATGAAACATTAAAATGGGTACATCTTTCTCAGATGGTATTTGAGAATCTAAGAAAATATTAGTGAACTGAAATACTACCTTTCAGAGACTTGCCACAAATTTCCAAAACAATTTGGTGCTTCCAACCTTTACATCCTTATCATTAACTCTTTCTCAAGGTTACATGTTGAGACTGATGTCAGTATAGTATCTTAATGGATTAATTTGTCTTAAAAAGCAGTATCTGTTGAATAAATAGTGATTAAAATTATTTCAGAAAAATTTAACTTCAGAGTAAAAAATGAACCTGAAAAACAATATTTTGTTATTTGTCACACTTCATAAAAAAAAGAAACAAACCTTGTTATGATTTCACTTTCAGGGATTGATAGAGCATCTTCTTTTCCACTGATGGCATTGTTCTTTCTTAAAAAAGGTCCAAGTTGCCGCTTGCGTAAAACAATGAGAATAACAGCCGTAACAATCAATAACGAAAGAGGAACAAGAATTCCAGCAATCAGTGCAGTATTGTCAGGATCTATAAACCAAGAGTGAAGGAGGTACTTGAAACACGTCATCTGGTGAACTACTGACAAAATTCTAAGTATTTAAAATGTTTCCATGTGACTGTTTCTACATCTTCTACAATTGTTTAAGTCTCTCAGTTTCTGTTAATGCCATAATTTAATACAAAAGCAATATCAATATTTATTCAATGACTATATAATTTACTTGTATAAAATAAGAATCAAGAAAATTTAAACAAGACTATCACAGCAACAACTTTGATTACCTTGTTCATAATGTTTCAATTAATGTATTCTTGGATAAATAATACACAACTCCACATTAGGTTTGAAATACACATCATACTCACATAATGCTATTCATGATTGTTTAATTGATTTAAATTTATCATCTATTACAAGAGTAGACCAAATAAGATATTGTAATTTACATGGTGAAAAGGAAAGCTCCTCCATAATGAAATTCTCTATCAATTTAAAGTTATGTGCAATAATTTTTATAAATAAGATTTATCATATCAAATTATATAGCACCATTTTATTCAAGAAAGCAGAATGCTATAAGCTGGCATATTTCCTGGATCAATGTGGTGCTAAATTTAACCTGAATTCAGCAGGTCAAACAACCAGAATGTATTGTAGAAAGCTACTAATTTGACCAAAATGTGTTAAGCATGAGAATAGGCCTAGATCATCAGACTCATGGTTAACGGGTGAGTACTGGTAGTTCTGTAACACATACTCTTATTATTTGTCTTAAGATACATGAGAAATGGATTAAAAACATAATTATGTTTTCTTATACATTTTCATAAATTTGAAAGACGTTTTTCCTAAACAAAGAACAACTTGTAGTCAGCTTCCTTTAGCTAAGATATAAAAGTTGTTCATTCTACTTTTCTTTATAAATTAGGAAGAATAATTCATCAATCTGAAATAATTGTTTAAAAAATATGTGCAATAAACAATTTTTTTATTAGTGCAAAAATGATTAAATACTTCTGAACTTGACGTACAATTTATGCACACCCATCTACACCTGTATACATTACTATTTATACACACACGTAACAATACTTCAACCTACGTACGTGCAGGTAACCTATTAGATGTACAGGATTTGCTATTTAACCATTACATTAAATTACTGTCTGCTTATGACTACCTGTTTGAATGGGATGAGAGTAAATAGTATCTGCAAACTTTTCAGGTGTTGTGTAACCTCGGAGTTTGACTTGATATGTAGCTCCTGCTTTCAGGGGTCCATTACAATACCCTGCTACTCCTGAACAATCTACACTCCCTATTGTGAAGTCTTCCACAAAACTGTTGTTGAAAGGTTGATAAGGTTCTGAGACCTGTAGTCACATGTAAACAAATTTTAGATAGTTTCATAGTTTCAATTTAGGTATATACATATAAATATATATAAGCAAATAAAAGTCTGCCTCGAAAGGATTAATTCTAGATGAATTTTTTTATCTTTGTAATTTGATTTTATAGAAAGCAACTATTCATAATATGAACTATGTTACTTTTTTTCCTAGTCTAAAGTCAAATATTCTGTTATTCATTACTAGAAGAGTTTAAAACTTGAAAAGATAGAGACTAGCTTTACAGCAACGTATTTTTTAGTTAACATTTTTTACATTTCATTGATAATCTTCATAAAGATGTAAGATATCATATTGTACAGTTATATTTGATATTATGAAAAGCAGCTGTAGCAAAATTTATCATAATTTTAATATAATTATTCAAAAAACTGAATAATATCTATTCCGAGTTTAAATTTTAAATTTTAGGAGTAACACGTTCCAAAGCAAAAAAATAATTTCACTTTTACATGTGAAATACTTTTTGATCATTATAATCTAATAAAACATTAAGGAGTGCTGTATTAACTTTACATACAGCAGTATTTTATAAGGCATTTTTGAAAAAATCTTGTGACTTGTGCAAGTCAACCAGATGAAATTTTGATTACTTTTAGCATTTAACTATAAAACATTCTAATAGTACTTAAAATACTAATCACAACAATACATACCTATCTGTCAATGTAAATGATGCTGAATAAATAACTTAAAAACTTTTCACCTGATATGGAGGCCAAGAGGAATAAGTCTGGACATCTGCCCAAGATGGTAGCTCCCAACTGTTTATCTCTGAACTGGTATCTTCAGCAACAATCAATGTGTATGCAGTGATGGGACCATGTGCATTTGAGAAAAAGTTCTTACGAAACTTGACTCTTATTGTTGTTGAGGTGTGGCTAATAATAGTGGGAAATACACTATTAGGGGGTGAAGGAGGTGCTGAAAAAAGTGGAAATTTTGAGAACCATGTTAAACAAAAAAGTATACACAAAAGCAAGTGTGATCTTAACAACTAAAAATTAACATCTATTCCAATTTCCAAATTTATTTAAAATATGAAAAATAAACTTTATTCTAAGAAATCTTTCATGTTAACTGCAAATATTTTATAGTCAAAATAATCGATTAAGTAATATTTTTTAAATTTCACTGAACCTACTCCTACTTTGACAGCAGGCAATTTATTATACATATAATGAAATAAGTACCCCAAATAGGCATGGTTTTCTCATAGGAAACTTTGTTCCCTGGACCAATCTGTGTAAGTGCTTGAATCTAAAACGTAAGAGAAGAAAATCAAAGTTTTTCAGCCTAAAACTCTATTTCCATTCATTTTATTTTTGGACCAATAACCTTATAAAAAAATTCACTCAAAGACAGATAACAACTATATTCTTTACAATTTAAATTGAAAGAAACAATTTTTCACTATTCTCTAATATTGAAACTGGTTCAGTCTTCAACAAAGAAAAAAGTAAAATTAATTCTGTGTTTGCTTTATTTTAATTTTTTGCTTTGAAGTTTTTACTTGTTTGTGGATGATGGATGCATTCCTCCTTAAATAACAATTTGAATGAAGAATCTGTTAACTTGCATAGAGGATAATACTGTACAATGCATCATTGTTTTGCTTTTCTAATCCTTCCATACAAAGCAATATTTCTCCAAAACAAATGAGTAGCTCTTGGCTTCAAAAACTTTGTTTGAATGGTTGCAAAAGAAGATTACTTACACAAGAAATAAACTACATTTTTAAGTCCACTCATTCATGAAAATTTGAAATAAGTAAAATGTATACCTCAAACTTGTAATTTTTTCCTGGAAGGAGGTGATGAATGGTACCAAAGTTTTCTGTTGGACTGAATGTATGATAACGAATATCAGTTGATCCCTGGATAATAAATGTCCAAGTAGTCATTAAACATAAACTGAGATTAAAATCAAAACGTTACAAAAAAATGTATGTTGTTAGGAAAAGTTTTAAGAATAAAGTGTCATTTTTAAGCAAAAAGCAATTGCCATTACTGTAAATATGCACAAGATACACTACCAAGCATTACTAAATCCCTTGTCACTCAGATAAGATGTAGTCATGTAAAAGTAATGTGAGATAATAACACTGTGGCATAAGGAAAAACAAAATCAATGATTAAAATGTAAGCCAAGAGAAATATTATAGAATAAAAGATAACAGGATATCTTGCTACTGATAAAATGAAAGATGGGTAATAATAATAATTAAGTTATACAGAAAATAATAATGTTATTGGAATTCAGAATTTTAATTTCTAGAGGTACAAAAGTTTTTAAAACCAAAAATTATAGGCATTAAAAAAAATTTCTACTAGCTAATCTTTGTTGATTTATAAACAGTGGTGTAGTGGTGTGGGAATGCATGGAAATGGCATTCCCTTATTTTGTGTTTTAGCTGGAATGACGTTCCCTCATGGTTTTGAACGAATCCAACCTTTCAAATCTCAAACTTTGTGAAGTTTTGTCCACCCTTAGAAGAAAGAAGTAAAAGGATCATCAACCCTTTCATCCAGGTTGTAGTCAAGTAATCAAAGTATAATGAAAGGAAAGATTGCAAATGCAAAATAAAATGTGTAGTTCTGTTAGTATTGATCACAAAGTTCCAAACAACTTATGGTCAGAGTTTATACTTCTCACCTTTTCACACTTATTTTCAGTAGTTGTTATATTGTTAACAACTGACTTGGAAACTCGACAAAACAAAATGAATAGTACTGTGGGACTTTTCACTATGGACCACGAAATTCCAAAGTAAATCGTCTGAGAATTTCTACTTCCAATCTTTTCACCCCTACTTCCTATGTTTATTTTACTGTCAGCAGCTGAAGATTCGAAAATAAAGCAATGACATGCCACTCTTGGCATTAGACTTTTCCCGGCTATAAAAACACAGCTGGGTAGGGTTTATTGGCTTGTTTCTAGTAGTGTAATTGCAACAAGCATTGTTTAAAGTACTATATCAAAGTGAGAGAAAATATTTACGATATGGCTGTATACAAAGTCTGATCCAATAAACTTTTCACACCTATTTCCTATGTTTATTTTACTGTTAGTTGCTGAAATAGAAACATTTCGAAAATAAAGCAAAGAATCCCCATTCGTGGTATTAGACTGATTACGTGATACTGTACTTTGACACCATCAATAACAATTTTCCCAGCTTTGAAAACACAGTGTAGGGTTTATTGGCTTGTTTGTTGTACAGTGATTGTCTAAAGTACTATATAAAAGTGAGAGAAAATATTTACAATATGGCTCTGTACAAAGTCTGTTCCAATCCAATAAACATGATAGGCATTTGAATGTTAGTTACCACCCAGGATTTAGTGGTATAGGTGTAAAAACGTGTAAGAGCTTATGGACATCCCGTTTCCTATTTTACCATACTTATACAGTAACCAATAAATGCTTAGTTTCCAGTAATATAAATACAGCCCATTTTGATTTATCTAGTATTTCTAACTTAGCCTCTTGCTAACCACAAACTTTCTTTTATCTAAAAAAAAAAGAAATACATTGTGGCCTTAAAAATGAGTGAAAAAACGTAATCAAACATCTCTGTATATCATTTTCCACTAAAAAAAAAACTAGCAGAAGAAATGGAATAAAGCACATCTTGGGCAAGTGATTGTGTGAGTGCATAAAAGTAATTCCACAAGCTACTTCTAATGATACATCAAATTTCAGTGAACATTGACAGGACAACATAAAAATGAATGCAAAAAGGATGACCCAAGTCTGTGTGACCTGAAGTTTGGACTGCTGAGATGTGAGAAGATAAGAAAAAGGCTTACCCAAGGCTTGTGAGTGATTCTATAAAAATTGGATATGCGGCATGCTCTAGTGTGACAAATCTAGGCCCATTTAAGTCACAAGGTGCTAGTTTTTCCAAAGAATGGAGTTCAGTTTCAGTTTCTTTCAATTACAGCACACAATCAGCACAACTAATATCCTTGAGAAAAAAAATTCTTCATTTTTAGAACTGCATATAATATAGCCAAAAATGATAAACCACATTCTGACTATTTTGATCTGTTACAGTTGTAAGAATTAAATGTCACAGAAATTCCAAAAGGTTTGCATTCACGATATAACTGACCATATTGTACAAGAAAAGAGATCAAAAGTCTGCAAATGCATTCTCAGAATAAAAGGAAAAATAGTCCACTTAAAATATGAAACAGACAAGTCAAATGATCCACATTATATTTTTTCCAATTTGGTAGAATTGCCTGATCAAACGGCAAAAACAATAAGCAAACATTTACTTACTTGTCTTGATGTGCATGGGTTTGATCATAATTATCTTCAACAATCTTGTTGCTTTTACCAGTGATGGCACCAGCATAATGCTAGGGAAAAAATCTAGTGTGGCTCAATGGATATTATAGTATGGTATTGCTTAAATCATCACTTAGAACTGTCAGTTGGAGATGCAATTTCTAAAGTACATGATGTTAATAATTTTCGTTCATTTATGGACAAACTGTACTCTTTAGACAGTCAATCTCCTAAGAACCAAGGAGAAATTCAACAGTGTGCAGCAAAGCTTGATGAAGAGATGAAAAATATTGGACATGTGTTGGGAACTAGATGGGTTTCAAGTTTGTTGAGAACTGTTTCAGCTGTTTGGAAAGGCTATATGTCTCTGTGTTATCATTTCGAATCAGTTAGTAGTGGCACTGATATAAATCAATCCAAATTTGACCAATGCACTTTCAGGGGGCTTTAAATGCATTTCAACGAAACAATTTCTTCTTGATCTGGCATTTATGAATGATGTATTATTCATACTATCTCTTCTTTCCACAGCCTTACAGAAAATGGATGTTACTATAGTTTATGCAGACAAGTTAATCTGTCGCAGCATACAATTTTTAGAAGCAATGAAAGAATGCATGGGTAAAAAGATCTTAGAAGCAGAGTATGCCATTAAGGAAATTAACTTTGCATCAATAACACTGACAGATAACAACAAGATTTTTTCAATCAATCATGGTCAATTTTCAACCAATATCATAAACAACATGAAACAACGGTTATTCACGCCAACTTATTCTCATGAATCAACTAGGTCACAGCCAGGCACTTCTAATTCCAAATATACTTTCTGAGCTTCATACTTTAGAAGTTAATGAGTGGCCAGCAGATATAAATCCAGGCTTTGAGAAAAAGGAAATGGAGTTCCTTTGCAAACATTTCAGATTGTCATCACAGCTTACAGAGACTTTCTAGATAACTGTGGGCACCATATTCCATCAGCTCTGAATCCTTTAATCGGGTGTTCAAAAGTCATCCAATGTAGTTCTTCCCAATGTGAATTGAGGTTTTAGCAACATGGATCTTATCATTAAGGAAATGAGGTCTAGGCTGTTAATCATCCATGTGAGAAATCTCATGTTCATTAAACTTCATGGCCCTCCGATTCAAAACTGAAAACTAGACAACTGTGCATACAAATGGCTTACGTGTCATCATTCAGCAACTGATATTTGAATAAGAGTAGTCAAGTCCAAAGATCTCACTATGGACCAAGTTTGGAAGTTCTGTTAATAAGTTATTCAGTAATTCAAAAGTTCAACATGAGACAAAATTAGTTTTTTATTGTAACTTTTTCCAATGTAATTTCAATTACAATTTACGGCTAATATTTCTGAAATATGTGTTTTTATGTATAGGCGACATAATAAATACTAATAATAGTTACATTTTCAAAATGCATTCCCTCACTTCTATGTTTAGCACTACACCACTGTTTATAAAATATAAAAATTAGAATTTCTCAATAATCTGAAAGATTCTCAAAGTGTCAGTTGCAATCTAAAACTACAAAAGCTGTATGATACCAAGATAAAAAACACTACAAAATTGAAACTAAAGTTAAATTTGGACTAATTGAGCAAAAAAGTTCCTTATATTTTGGAAGATTTTGTAGCATTTACAACTGTTGTTAGTATTTCAAATTCAAACTCCTGTTTAGCTCCTGGTGTTTTTTTATCTTTGCTAATCGTCCTGTATATAAAACATTACAATGAAAATGTAATTTGCCTGGAAAGAATTAAGTCTGCATGCATTTTCAGCATTCTTGTGATTGTCTTCTTAATGATGAACACAAACATGACATTGTTCACACTTAATCCTCCCCAGGCAGTAGAGTGTCCATTCAGACACACACATATCATGAACATTCCTCTACTTATGAAATCTCTTAGAGAACATAACTGATGCGACTTTATATAGTTCACACCTTAGAATAGTAAGATACTTTGAATCCAGTGAGAACCCCATTCTGATCATTTGCAGGAAGAGACCACTGAAGTGTTATTGATGAGGGTCTGACATCAATGGACTTGAACAAGTGAACTTTTCCTGGAACTAAGCCAATGACATAACAATATTTTCAAACGTGCCTTTATAATTTAACAAAAATTGTGACTTTGCATAAAAACTTGTTTAAAATCTTTCAAGCTTTGGTTATTGATGTGCTATTTTTATTAAAGTTCAGAAATTTAAATTCTGAATCAAAATATGTATTTTATGAATATTTTTATTTGGTTTCTATAATTTCAAACACAATAGTAATAAAATTATTACTATATATTTAAATGTTTTCATTAAAATTATCTTTTCTCAGCTCAGCTGCTGAAAGAGAAGGATGTTACTATGGAGAGTGATAGTGCCAGTGTGTTGATTATGTAGGTGAGGAAGTAGCACATAAACTAGAGAAATTGGTGGAGTTAGTGTGTTGACTGTGAAGGTAAGGAAGTGGGACATAAACTACAGAAAATGTTGGAGTCATCATTTTGATTGTTCAGGGAAAGAAGTGACACATAAACTAGAGGAACTGGTGGGGTCAGTAAGTTGATTGTACAGGTGAAGAATTAGCATATAAACATAAGGAACTGGTGGGATAAGTGTGTTGATTGTACAGGTTAGGAAATAACAAGCAAACTACAAGAACTGGTGGGTTAGTCCATTGATTTTAAACCTAAGTAGCTAAAATATACACTCAATGAAATATGAAAGTCAATGTGTTGGTTGTTCAAAAGAGAGTAGACAGAATATGAATGGTGTGGTCAGTAAGTTAGTTTAACACTCAGTAACAAAGCAAATAAACCTCAGTGATAATCATTATTGTGGTTTGGTTTTCATTTCAATTAAGCATACTTGATTCTTGAGTCTGAAATGTCCTAGACAATGGCAGACTACGTCGAGCAGTTGAAGTACCATATCCACTGATTACTGTCACTACGAAGGTGTAATTATGATGAGGGCGTAGATGAGTGTACTTTATTTCTTCCAGAAATGTTATATTTTGTTGAAGCATTCCTTTGTCATCAAGATACTGTACTTCATAGGCATCTTTGTCACCAACAGGTACTTCCCAAATTAGGTTAATACTTGTATCATAGATGCTACTGGTGGTGATTTCTTGTATACTCTCTGGGTCTAAACCAAAAATAAACATGCTTCAAGGTTTTCATTTTTCAACACAAAACAGTTGCTTGTAAATTATATACACACAGAAATACAAAAATAAGACTGTCAGTAAAACATTTTCTTTTTATGAAACCATCCATTTTTCTTCTTAGTATTTATCAATTGAGCAGATAAATAAAACAGTAACCTTACTTTAATTTTTATATTTTCAAAATGTGGAAATTAGGAAAGAAATAATGTCATATATATATATATATATATATATATATATA